TTGTCGGCGTACCGGTTCTCCGGCGTAAACCAGTTATTGCTCTCCGGTCGTTTATTTCCTGCGGGATCGGGGAGAGAAAGGGGCTGGGATACAAATCCGCGAGCGTGCCAGGGGATGTTGCGTTCTATCTGTCAAAAATTCGCGAACGAACCCAGGCGTACGAATGAATAAATAAACCGCCAAGACGATTCCCGTCGGGGAAGGTATTTGTATTATACATTATCCAGAAAAAGGGTCTGGAAGCTACGGTGGCGTAGCTCGACGGAAATGGACGGAACGTGTTCGTCTAATTTAGGCCTTTGATTCGGCGAACGTTGCGAAAATCGTTGTCGAAACCTTTATAATAATAAACTGCTGTCCGTGGCTTCTTTATGGGAGCACATGCAGTCGAAGTCTCGAGCGTATGTCGTATCGATTTCTGAGATTACGATTCCTTTCCTGTCGACCATTTCCTGTGTACTCTTCTTGTCGAATAAATAAATGTAAAAGCGATTGTATAATGGATACAGATGGTCGCAATATCCCCGTTTACGTCGAGAAAGGTTCGAGCTTGGAGAAACCCGCCTCCGTTTTCACGGAGAAGACGCGGACGACGCGTAATCCACTTAGAAACTGCATTAAAATCGTACAAACCGACTTCTCGGGGTTCATCTCCTTGAGGCCTCTCTGGAATTAATCCGTGGACGGTCGCCTCTTAAAAGGGTGGCTTTGCTCGCTCGCAGCCACCATGAAAATCCGGTAATGACGCGAAAACGGCCGGATTTGTACGAACACCCCTGGCCCCTGCCTTCTTCCAACGAATTTAAGAGAGCCACTCCCCGGTTAAGAAGCTTTACCTGCACTTCGACTCGATATTTTATTAATTATAATTCACCGTCGACGAGATGGTACTCTTATCCCCTCGAGAGACTCTCGAGAACCCGAAGAAAGGCTCCAGATGGCGTGGCTGCGGTACGACCATGTATCGTAGGCGCAAGAAATTGCTGTAATTACAGAGTTCCACGGGCCGTTCGTTTCCTAGACGAGTCACGGTTGATTAAGTCGAATAACAACGCGAATTACCGATGGGAAATGGAAATTTCGTCGCACCTGCGTCACGTAAACTTTTGCCGAAGGAGCCAAGTGCAATCCATACTTTACTTCAGAATTAACAAAACGATGTTGCTAGGTTTTGCTGCTAGGAATTGGTATTTTTAAGATTGAAAATCTTTTTATTTTCGAACAGCCGAAATTCGTGTCCCGTTATACGATGGAAAAATGCTGCGAGACGATGAAATTGGTGGATAGTATCAGATTAACCTTATAAAATATTAACAGTTGGCACTTGATTTCCGATCTCTTATTATTTTTGTAGTATCCGCGCCTCCCATACCCAACAATAAGGAGTCAAGTAAGAACACGAAAAGTACGGTACGGGATTGGTCGCGTAGGTAAAGCGATCGACTGTGGATCCGAGGATCGTGGCTTCGAATCCCCGTGCCTTATTTTTCGTTTAGACTCCTACATTTTAAATGCTTGGAAGGTATCTACGCTTTTTCTTCTTGCCTTTTGTCTAAAATCTGGTCGAGATATTCAGCCCCCGCCCCCACGTTTGAATCGAACTGGAAACGAAAGATTAGGGCGGAGATTTTGTCCAACGTGGCCTTTGTCGGTTATTGCCACGGTACCGCTGCGGGGACAACAACGGAAGCAAACCGAGGCCGATCGTAACGAATTTTACGCCTGTCTATATAACAGAGCTTTATCGTCGCGGGACCTATGGCCGCGCGACTGTCCCGTTAAGGTCTAAATAAGATCCGTCCTTCTAGGAGAGTCCCGACAAATCCCCGGGTGGTGCGTTTTACTTTCCACGGGGCTCTCTTTCTCGATTATACGTACCTTCTGCTCCGTTTCTTCTCGTTCCCGAATTGCCCCCGCAGCGAATAGCCTGAGCGTAAAAAAAAATAAAACCAGTTAGAGTACTTACGATAAAATTCGCCCGTCTTTGAGAAGGTCTTCTTAACCCTCAATCTTAACCCTCTGTTACTTGACCTTTATTTTATATTTCTTAATTATTTATACGCTCCGAGAAGCGACAATTTTACCTCGCAAAGGACAGCTACAATTATTACCGAGTTCCGCGAAGTAAAACGAAATTCCTGCACGAAGTTCCGAAGCACTTTCTTGAGGGGTTGATCGACCCATCGATTTGTGCCCTCCCACGTTTCCAAGACTTGTTTTTTCGGCTCGCCGCAGACTGATTTCTATATTTATCCGTACCGTCCGGTATTATTGAATTCCAATAATCTGCGACGCCGGCATCGTAATCCTCCCCATCCGCCCCTGGGATACGCCACGATTTATACCGTCCCTTCGTCTCTTTACTCTCTTTTTTTTCTTTACCATTTTTTACCCTTAGCCCCCTTAACCGCGGCGACGAAATTGCCCGCAACGTCTCGGCTATCTTCGACGAGCTATCACTCGGATTCGTTATCCACTTATTAAATCGTTCAACTCGCGAACGAATCGCCACGATGGATTTTCACCTGTGTCGAAGGTGGCGCGAGAAAAGCCAGACAGACGAATCCAGCTGTTTGCATTCCTCGCGAGGTAACCATCGACGCGACAGAGGAATCGCCGAGGATCGTGATTAAACGTCGCATCCTCTTCTATCCTCTTCGCATCCTTTTCGTGGTTGCTCGTTTCCCTCGGTACGCGCAATTTCGGACCTCGTTCTCCGCTGCCAACGCTTTTTCACCTCAGGCTGGGACGGACGAATCTCAGGACGAAGAAGCGGCTCGATTAAAAGCCCTCGAGTCCCAGGGACATTAATTACGTATCCGAGGAAATTGTCTCCGTGGTCCAGTGCTCAGGGTTTTCAATAATCGCGTGTATTCATGCATATGGTATAACACCCGATGCTCTGGAAGCTTCCAAGAACCGCTTAGAACTCTTCGGGATAGTCTGTTATCCTTTAACAATAATTAGAACTGAGTGTTTCGAATATATTTTCATGTTTAGGACCAAAACAAATGCCCTCTATATCTAGTGGAGACAGTTGTCTGAATTAAATGACAGGTTTGATGTTTTCAAATAAATGTTTCATTATAAATATATTCATGCGCAAAGTTTATCCGTGTATATAAATGTTTATTCAGACAAATTTCTTCGATAGACATAGAAGAGGGTACTTATGCACCTTATGTGCTTGGTGCACTGCGGTGAAAGTTTCTTCGATAAGTGTCGCGTGGTTCCCCCCACCACTGTAATTATCGCGCGCAAAAATACTCGATCTCGAGAATAGCGATGGGAACCGTGTCGTAAATCCCAGCCGTACCGATCGTTAACAGTTGTCGAGGGAAGAGGGTTGCAGAAAAGAATCGCGCCTAGTCAAGAATGCCTTCGTTCCTCGAGGGCTCTAATCGAACTCGTAAAAAGTTGAAGTGCTTCTCCCACGGTTCGACCCACGCGCGATCGGTTTTCAGTTGCAGTCGGGAACGGCTGGAAAAGTTGCCAGACCAATCCAATTTATTTATTCGAGCCCCTGAAACACGAGGCCTCCAGGCCTCTCCTTTCTCTCGGATGGACGGACGCGTGGTGGTCCCAATCTCTCATCGTCGACGGACTGACCAAGAACCTCTTCTTCGATGTTGTGCAAAGCTTCGCAGAATCTGTCTCCCCTAAAACCTCGTTTTCTCATTCTTCGTGACTGGATCCTTCAGTTTCTTCTGCTGGGATCGTTGTGCCCCCCCCCTCGAACGAATATCCTAGCCACTCGAGGGCCTCTTCGCGGTCTGTAAACGTACCTCCGCGAACGTGGAACCTTCCAATCGAACCTACAGCCTCGACGCTACTCCGAGATGGACAAAATTCGAAGATAGCAGTGTGTAATTATTTCACTGTTCTTTCATTGTCAATGCGATACTTGGAAAATTTACTTCGGTGGAATTAATTTTCCAATAATCTGCTTAATTTTCAGAACAAAGTGGTTACGGGACGCCACTAAATTTTTGCCCATTTCTGGAACGCAGCAAGGTCGAGACCCCTCGTTCTTGCCCTTGACCCAGGAGTCTTCGAAGCGTTCGAGCAGCGATCAAAAATACATTCGTCGACCCAAACCGTGCAAATAGATTTTTAATCGGGGAATTGGGACGCCGGGGGCACGCTGACGGCGCTGAAGGGCAGATGGATCTAAAAGGCTCTTGGGAATGAAGTTTTTGGAGACGTGGTACTTGGAGCGTGACCTGAGGGTCTAACGGTAAACTTTAGAAAATGGAAAGGTGAAGCTTCTTGGTCATTAAAGAAGACTAAAATATTGGAGAAGTTTGAACGAACTATTAATATTTATCGTGTCACTTTACTCTGATAGTTGCTGAATTTTTTAATTTGTGCCTGCCAACTGTCCCTGGGATATGTGTAATTACTCGTAGCAAACAAGTTCGAACTCCAAGAGCACGGAGGGTGCTCCAGGCTCCGGTAGTTTCCTCTTTCGCTTCATTTCCTCGACTCTCATGATCGATGATCAGCCTCGAAGTTGCGAGAATGATCGGGGGATGTTTACCGTGGTTATAAACGGTCTCGTCTGAAGTGTATCACTCCCCGTCGACAGCAGAGAATCCTTCCACCTTTTACCTCGGCCTTAACCTCTGGCTGCTTCAACCCCTACCACGTCTACCTCGCTTCGTTATTCAGGCACCAAGTGCTACGTGGAACCTTCCAACTACACCTTACCTTTCTTTCCCCCTCATTTCCTGTCTCCGTATTCCTCGTCTTTTTTCTCGCGTCCTTGCTTCCTTCGTCATTAAGGACGTGACATTCTGGCTCTCTCGCCTCTGTCCCCTCTCGCTTCATTTCCAATCGAAGGTTCCAGGGAAGCAAAAGTTTTCGTTCTCAACCCTCGGTTCCTCGTACCATTTCTGCTCGCAATGACGATCCACTGTATAAAAATTCAAAGATACGCGATAGTTTGATACGCTGACACGGCACACAAGGCTCATCGTTCCCGTTTCTTTTTGTTGCAGATGGAAGACGAGGGCAATCACGGCAACGACGACACCAGATGCTTCATCCTGTCGACGCTGGCCGCGCTACAGTGGTCCAGAGTGACCTGCGTCCTTTGCCGCGCTCCCATGCTCGTTTTCGACAGGTATCCTTTAGTGGACGGTACATTCTTCCTGTCTCCGAGGCAGCATTCGCCAGCCTGCGCGGAGGTAAGTTGAAAAATTCGTGTAAATAATACCCGCCGAGGCACCGAACTAACTTTGCCCATGCATCCTTCGCGAGGACATTCTCGACAACGTCTCTCGTCGCCAAGAATTATTTCTCAAGTTTCCTCATAAATATCGTAAATACGAACCGTCGACTTAACATATCGTTGACCGACAATTTTACACGAAAGCGACTTCTAAATCTATAATTAAAATATTAGGTAGAGTGGAAAGTAATGTCGTTTCTTTTACATTAAATCCAAACGAATTTTTGATAAATTTCTATTTTTAAATAATTATGTAGTCGCCCTCGTTATCAACAGCCTCTTGCCATCTAGTGTGCAAATTTTCAATGCCAGATCGATAAAAATCAACGACCTGATGCGTGATAGACAAGTATTTAAAATTGCAAGAACAACATTACTTTTCGGTCCACCTAATAGATATATAAGCGACTTCTAATCTAAATAAACTGCAATAAATTTTATTTATATTTTACCAACATAGTGAACTGAAATTGAAAAACCGGCAGGACTAAACACGACGAGCAATAATGCTTTTACAGTATTCTGTATGGGTTTCGTCAGTTGAAATTGACGATGCAAGTGGAAACGCGAGTTTACTCGTGACTGGTCAACAACGTTTAGGCATGAAAACACGAGTTAACCCCTTGACATACAATAACGAGTTAGGGTCGTCTATTCATTTCATGTGCCAGTCTAGACTTTGACGAGTCTGACTCCTCCGATCGACTAAAATCTAAATTTCAAAATAAAATGTACTCCTTCTACATCACTGTTCAATCCAGCGAAATTGATTAGTATTTTTTGGATCGAGTTCCGTTTTATTTGTATGTCAAAGAGTTAACTCGTAACCGATCAGCAATGTGTTAACCTTGAATTAGTAGCCCTTCTCGGAGCGAAATGGATGGATCTCCGTAGAGAAGGAAAGGTCGAAACCACGAACGCGAATCGATGTTCCTGTCTTGGCTGTTTCAGGTGAAGGTCGAAGGTCGCACGCAATTCTTGTCCGCGGTGTGCATGTGTTGCCTCGAGGGCAGCGGCGGTCAACCGGTGCGTTGTCGTTGCTGCACTCAGCCGTGGGACGGTTCCAGCTTAGTCCTTGGAACGATGTACAGCTACGATATCTTTGCTGCCATGCCCTGCTGCACCGAGCGGCTGAAAGTGAGTCTCGAATTTCGCAGCACTTCATCTTCCGCGTAGTCGTACTTAGTTAACGTTAACGCTTGCACTCGCGACTTCGTACATTTGTAACTATCACGGTGCTACGACTAAATCAGCGGCTGCGTTGAATCGCTCCGAGTAGTTCCTGCGTGGTAGATCGTTTGAGTTTGGACGAAAACGGTTTTAGACGATGAAGCTGTCAAGTAACAGGTTACCAGTGGAATTGGGAACCGGTATCTACTCCCTTTGACCCTTTGCACTAGAGAGGTGACACAGTTAGTTACTTTTATTAGTCGGTAGTCTTTTATTTCAATAAAATGACAATCGGGCTACTTCTTCGAAGTCAATCTAAGCTTAGCATTCGTGGCAATAGAATGCTAATAAAGCATATCTCGAGTTTCTTGTAGATACGAGAAAAAAATGTCTCGAGTGCAAATGGTTAAAGTGCTCCTGGGTTGATGCACCACCAAAAGATCATCGTTGGAGATGGGTTATTAACCTGTAAAATTGTGCTCGTTTGTTGCAGTGCAACAGCTGCCAGAAGCCTCTGATCTATCCTCATCAACGGCTGAACTTCTACTCGGACTACAGTCGCGTTTTCGCCTGTCCACACTGCAGAGCCGTGGACGCCCACTTTGTGAAGCCGCTCTCGGTCTGCTTCACCCGCGAGCAGTTTCAGCTTTACAGCCAGTGGCCGTAACCATTAGGGAACTTAGCTAACCGGCGTCTAAACACCGCGACTGACCCGTGTCCCCTCTTCTTCGATCCACTGATCTCCCTGCTCCGGGCGACCTTGCTCTAGAAATCCTTCAACACTCGTCGGACCGTTTTGTTCTCTCTTCGGCTCCATCAGGAGTAATCGTCATCATCGTCATCGAGGAAAACACTAGGAAGAAACAAGCTTGAAGAATCCTGGATTCGACGCTTTCCCTCTCCACTTCGAGAACGATCTCTCCCCCTCATCTCGAGGACGATTAACGTACCGTTTTGATAGTAGCATTGGACGTTTCGATTTCAGGATAAATTTCACCACGTTATACGAAATTCAAGTATTTATTTACCCTCTATAACGTAAACTGCACGTGTAGTTTCTGTAGTTTCTGATAAATACGATAAAATGAAAGATCTGTTGCTCTACCAACGACTGAAAGAATCGTTCAGACTACGTGATCCGGGCCATGTTATTATTTACAATTACATTCGATGCATATTAAAACAGTCTTTAAATATTTAGATAATGGATACGTGACTTCGGAGACGTTGAGGGGTTATAGAGGGTTAAAGTTTAACTATATCTCGTCTTCTATTTTTCTGACGGAAAATCTGTTCTCGATGTCGAGAGGTGCATCGATTAAACCGTATCAGGTCTCGCTGATAGACCTTCTCGAGTGGAAAGCGGAAGCGTCGCGTTCCTGGCGAGCTCCCCGTAGCAGCGATAAGGTTTAAGATTTTTCTTTTCCAACGTTGATAGTAGGGTTTATCTACGTTAATTCAGAGCGAGGGACGATGGTACGCCTAGGCGCGGCGACAAAGTGGAAAATCGACGCTTCGCGACGACGTATCGACGGGCTGTGTCAGCTTCCTGGTGACAATTAAGGCCAAGGATATTATCGTCAGTATTAATCGTAAGGAGCTGAGACGGGCAGAATTTTGTTTGACTAACAAATAACGAATGCAAACTCTTCGTAACGATTTATTCGATAGAAAGGTTAATTCGGACTTCGTGTCGATGAGACCTGATTTCATTTCGTAATTCGTACTTTTTATTCGTTGTTTGGAACTTTTTGTCCAGATGAGAGTTCTGCCCATCTGGGAGGTGTAACGAAATTCCCAGGACACCCGGGTCCTGGGTCCTTGTAATAGTCGAGTTTTAAGTTAGCGAAATCTTATTTAGAGTTCCTCGGTTTACTAATCCGTGTTCGTGGTTTCTGTGTGTCGTCGAGACCGGACCGATCTCGACTCGAGTCAAAATTTGTAGAACGTAATACGGCGTGGGCGTTTTGTAAATTAATTGTCCAATTGGAAATTAGTCGGTATTCTTTAGGAGGGAGCATAGTCTTTGTATCATCTTCGTTAGATTAAGGAACGTCGTTGGTAGGTTTAAAAAGTTGGATAAAATGCGTTGCACCGTCGATACGTCCTCGTCTCGTACAAAAGTCGCGAAAGCCGAGGTTCGAGAGGTATCGTACCGTGTTCAAACGCAACGGAGAAGTCGCGTGATCGTCCCTCGTGCGTCCCATAGTCGAAATTGCGTTTGACGAATAACATAAACGGATCGCAAAAAGGAAAAAAAAAAAAAAGAAACGAGAACGCAACTATTGTACGAACGACATTAGACGCAGAAAAGGTTAAAAAGGATCAGGCTTCCCTTTATTATTGTGTAGGTATATGTATAAAAAGCAAAAAAAGAAACGAAAAGGCCACATTGAACGAAAAGGCGGAAGAGATATGAACTATCGTTTGTTACTTAGATAATCGAGAACGTTGTTTTTTTTACATTTTATTAGTTTATACGTTTACGGCGGTCATGTTGATTTTGTTTAAGGATCTACGACTCATTCGATGGGTTTCACGTTGATCAGGCCGGGCGCCCAGCGATTTTCCGCCTTCGAGATCGTCGTCGTTCGCCAAATCTGTGAACGAGCATCGTACTTTTATTTTTGACAATACACCGTTTTCTCAATTATTTCTTTTCGACAAGTCAATTTTATTTTTCACCACCGCTGCTCGATTTTTCTTTTCACCCTCCTGCGACTACCTAAAACGGAATTTTCATTCCTGGTCCGTTCGAGCTTTCCTGTCCGCGTGACAATTATTTCCCCTCGATAACGCGAAGATACAAGCACGCTAATTTTGTTCCTTCCTCGTCCCAACGTCCTCGATTCCCCGTTGATTTTCTTTTTCACTTTTTCTTTTCGAGATTTCTCGGAGAACAGCTGAAAGCCGCGGGCGTCCGAAGTAGCCAGTGTAAATACGTAATTAAACGGGAGTGAGAACCAAATGTTTTGGTGACAAAGAATCGCGCGAGCGATCGTGCGAGAGAAAAGAAAGAAAGAAATCTTCGTTTTTTTCTGGCGATGCTGGTCGTTGCTGTCCATCAATAGCGGCCGTCCCACAAACAGACCGCCCACCGTTTCCCAAGGTAGTATAGTCGATCGTGTACCTTCTTTACGTTACTTCGATTTAAAAGTATACTTAATCCATTATACGTCGGGAAGTCTATTTAGGAGATTATATATGTCCCGTAGAGTTTTTAGCGAGGATCCGTGAATGTGCTCACCTGGCTCCTTCGAACGACGGGACTCGTTTTCCGTTTCGTCAATCGAAAATAAAAGTCATCCAGCCTTCAGCAAAATTCTTACGTCTCGACAAAAAGTACAATTTGAAGACAATAAGTGGGAGCAATAATACTACATACCGAAACTTGGCAGTCTCAAGAGACTATTATCCTCACTTCTCGAAATTGTTGGAGGAACGATAGAATTTCACTACCTTCGCTCGACGAGTGTCGCGACTCGGTCACGGATCTGCGATACTCGTCGATTGTTCACGCTAATTTGTTTTAAATTTTTCGACTTTCAGATTTGGAGTAATGCTCGGTATCTGTAAATAGCGTTATTTAATTAATATTTTTTTTCTTTTTTTTTTTTTTTATAGATGTAGAAAGTCGAATGGTACGATTCAAAGCAGAACCGTGATGAGACGAGGTTCGAAGGAGTTACGGGTGCGTTGTATTCATAAATAATCGAGCACTATGATTTAATCCACGGAAGGATAATTAGAGAGAGAGAGACAAGGAGCAGCGCGATGCGAACGTAAATGATGAAAGAGTGCGAGTGCGAGAAGGACCGAGAGTGAGGGATTAAAAAAGGGAAAAAGTAACAAAAAAAAAAGAAGAGATAAGAAATAAATGCAAAGGGGGACCTTCTTTGGGTAGCCAAAAAAACACGAGCTGAAAGGAGTCCGTTATCATCGTTCGATTGCCACGCGACGTAACCGCGTCACGTTTTCACGGTTTTCTTTTTCATTCTTCGCAATGTCGCGAGAGGTTCGAGCATCGGAGAGAGAAGAAAAGAGGATCTCGTTACGTGTTTTTTCTCAGAGTGCCAAATATATGGGAGGGATAGAGAGAGGGTGAAAGCCAGGGATGGACAAAAATTTTATTTAAATAACTTTCTTTGGAATAGACAAATTTTCATTTCGTGGTTAAACCTCTATTTGCCGATAGGGACAATCATAGGTAACACCTCGCTTAAAGATAAAATTTTACGACGACATTAAAGGAACCGAATCAGTATTTATCTCTTCATAGGTATTTGACTTTAAACCGAAGCAAACGAAGGATACAAAGGGTGATTTTTTAAATCACCTTCGATTAAAGATAACCGATTCCAATTTTTGATCTTTAAGCGAGGAAGGTTTGTAGCATCCGCTCTATCTAGATATTTATCCAGAATTTTGTCCGTCCCTGCCGAAAGGTAATTTCGATTCGGTTAAAAAATTCCAGTTCGGTTTTCTCAGCTTCCTCGGCTTTTCGTCAGATTATCCTAGATCATGCTAGCGCGACGAAGCACACCTCAAAGGGCTTTCGCGCACGCGCTCTTGGGTACTCCCTACCGTTTTCAATTTTCGGCACAAAAGTGCCGCGCGAGGAGCGATAATATTTAATCGATTTTCGTCATCGGCTCGTTTCAGTTCCTATCGCAGGACTCGATGACGCAGGAACCAAGGAAGGAAACGATCGTCTCGGAGGAAGACAGAGAATGAGTTCCTTTCGCGAGAAAATCGATCCGAGCGATCGCTGCGATCGCCACGTGGTCGATCGTCGTTCGTCGATCTTCGAAACAGACTGCATAGCGAGTCACGCGAGAGTCCACACATTCTTGATTACCGACTTTAGACTGATGTCCTCCCACGATAAATATCATCAGGTCCTTGTAGATAATAATACACACTAGTTTATTTAATTTAACCTCGATTTTCGTCGGAGAATACACAAAAAGTTCAAGGAACAGTACGTATAAGTACTCCGTATCTGCTTAACACAATTTTTCGTTCTCCCCACAAAAATACACCAATCGTACAAACACTTTCGTGACGTCACTGAGAGTCTGTTAATTCGACGAAGGCGACGATCGATCGCCGACCGCGTCAGGTTCGATTTTTGTAAAAATTAGTCAGTCTTGACGCGTCGACGTATCCCTCCTCCCGTCTCGAGATATCGAGGGAGTTTTAATCTTGATCCTGAGTTCTCGATCTTGGAATATACTCCAGGGGGTGCGTCGACGCGCGACGCGCACTCGCTCTGTAGTTGCTAAGGCTAACGATTAAAGGATAGGCTAACCTTTTTTTTTTTCTTTTTTATTCCGAGTAAACGTCATCGCTGTGTGTAAACGATTTTCTACTAATCGCCGATCGTCGTCGTTGTCCGCGGGCCTGGCGGTAGGGGATCGACGCGAGACGATCGATCTCGATCGCGAAACGACGATGCGCTCCCAGTTGAAGAATCTACCTCGATCCACGCAGCCCTGGGAGAATCGACGAGAATATACATACCTAGAATACAAATATAAAAGCATCGTTGCTTGGAGTAATTATTATTCTAAATAACAGTGCTATTACGAGTAATAACGATTATTATTGTTAAAGTAAAATCTTGGAGGGATCGTCAAAGGCGACTCCTTCCCTCCCCCGCGACCTGGTCCGCGTCGCAACGTCGACGAAGCGAGTCGTGTTTCTATGTCAGTGTGTTTTTATAAACAAAGGAACCCTGGTTGGACGTGGAAGCAGACGAAATCGTCCCGCCAATCTCGCCTGAGCTGGACGGAATCGCGATTCAGTTTGGAACAAGGGATGATCGGGTCGCGTTCGACGTCTCGCAGGGATTCCAAATTTATCGATCGTCGTAATTATCGTGTCCGTGAAATCTTCTAATGATAATTAATCGAATAGCACATCTATGGCACGTTGAGAGGGGGGTGGGATAGAAGGGTGGACGTGCCCGGAAGGGTTCGCGACAAAACGATGAAGCAAATGGAAGGAAAGTGAGAGGGGGGTCTTGAGGACGGGATCCGGAGAGAGGTTATGAGTG